TGGTAAGCATAGGGAAATATGTCTAGGAAATATATCTGGCCATTATTATAACAAGGAGAGAGAATAAAGAATCTATATTCTATATCACTCAGCTCTTATTTTAAAATAAAAACACTGGAAGCCTATAGTAAATATTATATACTTTTAGACATTTTATTTTCAGAGATAAAGTATATCCTATTTGTGGCTTCAGTGCACTTTACCACTCATGCATTATGTAGGTGTCTCAAATTGTTAAAAAAAAAAAAATGTATGGCCTATAAAATGATTTTTGACTGTGGCTTTGAAAGGCCACATGAAATTTAACATGTCTAGTCTGGATTCTTTCAAACTTTCTGGTCAATTATTCGTAAATAACAAGTGCAATTCTTCACTTTTTCTACAGGGAGAAAAGAATTGCTAAAATGACTGGAATGGTTAAACAAAACAAATGAAAGAGAGACTATAAAGAAAAGAGACATTAGCTCCTGTAATGTGTCAACCATAAATAATGGTCAATAGAAACCTATCACATCCAGTCATTTACATCATCTCAAGTGAAGGTCAGAGATAATCGGGCCAGAAATACCATCTTGTAAAAGGGTCATCTGTGTCACAAAGATACTGCGCCTGGGAAATCACTGACAGAGTCAGCTGTTCCCAAAGCATCACTCAGTCCAAAGAACTGAGCATATATAAAGGAATAAAAACAAAGGATCTGTTCTAAATGCAAAGTGTAGGTGGAAACATAAAAGAATGTAAAAAGGAACCTTCCTCTTCCCCAACTTTGGGACATCCTTCTCTTCACAGAAATCCCAACCCTTGGGCAAAGGAAGAGATCAGCGTGAAGGGCCCTTCCCGGGTGGGAACACCCCTCTGGGACTGGTCTCCAGTAGGCTGGCCAGAACTCTCAGCTCATGAAACAGCACTGCTGTCTGTGTGGGCGTAGTGCTCTCTGAGAAGGTCACTGTGGAAATAGGACACAAGGCCAGAGCAGGAAACCAGCGGAGTCAAGAGTAACACAGCACCCTTTTCCCATTTTGCCAATTTGCTAAACCTGCGAAGAAATGCTATCATTCCCCAATACATGATGTCTTACTCTAGCATGATGACTACACACCCTTAGGGCACACCCTGACTTGACCCTGACCCACACCCATCCTTTCTTTTTTTCTCCCTCTATTAACATATTTTCTCTCTATTCAAAACAAACCTTGCCCCTCTGACATCTCTTAGACACAGGCATTTTCCCAGTGTTCAACCTAGAAATTAAAGTGAGAGTAAGCCCAGACCTCTCCTCTTCCACTCCCCCTTCCTCTATTCACCTCCTAACTCATACCCCAACTCTAAATCAAAGCCCCATCAAGGTATGGCATTTTTGCTTAGCTCAGTGCCCCAGAACCTAGGATGGTGCAAGGAATACAGCAGGCCCTCCATAAATAGGGAAATAATCTATTACATTCCCCCAGCTAACTACTATGCTATCATCAGACCTTTCCTTTTCCCATGCCGGATCCCACGGGCAATCATCAATTTTTCCGCCATCATGATACACAATCAAATCCATCACCCACATTTCCATCTTATATCCTTACCCAAAAGCCAAGCTCTTAAAAGGCCCAGACATTTCAGCAAGGCTGCTTTTTGCTTGGGCTCTGACTTTAAAACTCATCCTGATAATAAAGCTCTCAAGAATCTCCTCCTTGTTCATCTCCTTATCCAAAGTCACAGTCCCGCCCACTTAAGGACTTGCCTCCCCCATCAAAGTCTCTAATTGAGAACATACCTCTGCTCCGGGAATATTTACTCCCACTTTCTCCAGTCCTTTTCCAAAAAGCACATGCACCAATTAAACTTCAAACCGTCCCCCTCAAATTATATATATATATATATGCATATATATATATATATATATATATATATATATATACATATATATATATATATGCCTTGTTATACCAGACTTCTATCAAAACCCAACAGTACATGGAATGCTTCTCTTCTGTCTTTATTATTGCTTTATGTTATCAAGAACCCATCTATTTCCTAGGGTATTTCCTTCATTCCTAAAACATATATTATTGAACTCATCATAGGTAGCAAAAGGCAGAAAAAAGGAAAGAGAACAATAGATGTGGGGAAATGATCTATGGGCTTCTCTCCACTTATTACTCCTCTCTTCATTGCAAGTATCTGACTGTTTAAAATCATTGCTTCCATCCTTGCAAGAACAAGGTACATTTTGCCTAGTGAAACTGCTCCTTGTTTTGCTGATTCAAAATTGGGAGGGAATATATTAAGAGATGGGATTATTCTAGGATACATTACTTTTTTTTTCAAAATGTATAATCATGATGGATCTCCCCATAGTTGCTGGGTCCCTGAAATCTAATTTGCCTCCATCAGTCTCAAACTAGAAATGGAAAAAGAATGCAAAATCATGAAAGTAAAGTTCATGTTCTAATCATCACTAAGGAGTCATCTGCCTTCTGTTGCCAGAAGCCTCCAAACTGAGGAATTTACTAGCCATGTAGAGCATAAAACATGGTATATATAATATAGTTTATAAGATAGATACATAATCAGTATAGGTGGTTCAGTCTGATACTAGCTAATGGTTTCAGGTATCCACTGGGGAATCTTGAAACACATTTCTGCAGAAGCCATGTTGCATTCTCAACTCCAATTACCTTTTGCCTCAGAATCACTATACCATTTCCTTTAGTAAGTGAGGTTGACGTGGTTTTAAAAACGTGGAAGATTAAAGAAGGTATTAAAGAAATCAGCTAATCCCTTCTCACCAATACCCTCCTCCAATTTCTGACTAAGATTGATAATCTATTATCACATATAACTCTCCCACCTACCCTGTAAATAATAATAGCTTCCAGACTCTGTCCTTTATATATATTCTCCCATTTAACCCATCCCAAAAGCCTGGCATAAGTTTTAACCTTCCCATTTTACAGCTATGATAACTGGGGGCTCAAAGGGAAATGATGCCAAAAACTTTGCTGGCCAATTGTTATTTAAAATAGGCCATACCACTCCTTTGTTAACATTATAAAGTACGGAATATCTTTAAAAACTGTGTGGATTTAGAACTCCTAAAATTAGAAAATTTTAAAATGCATACCTGCTTTTTCCTTGAATTTGCTTTGGGAAACAGGCCTGCTGACAACACAGATGTAAATGGAGAACAGCATAGCTCAGGAAAAGGGTTTGGAATAGATGGCATTTCCAGAACATCAAGATCTTTCTTTTTTCTCCTACACCAAGAGAACATAGGAGGTAATTTACATAAAGCGGAATGTAAAATATAATTGCTGACAGGATTAAGAAGTTAAGGGCCAACATGTACCACTGTGTGACAACACTAATATAAAGTACACAGCAAAGGTCTGTGATGTACTTTCTGTGGGTCAAAATAAAATTTGTTAATTGATATAAACCAATTTCCCATAGTATTTCAATCTTTTTTCAGGGGGGACCTTTAAAAAAATCACTAGGTATAGAAACTCCATTTCCAGCATTTTTTATAATTTTCCTAAGCTGAAGTACAGACTATATGATTATTGACACAAAAACCATCCTGAGAAGTTAGGCATTTTTATGGATCCATTAAATTGACAAAGTCTACAAACATTTAGTGAATTCATCCCTATGCTATTTTACTAATCACTTTTGGAAGTTATGGTTTATTAATTATAGCTGTGGTTCATCTCACTTCAAATTTCATTCACAATGTTGCCCACACACAGTCTGTTGATTTTTCAAGTGCTTATAGATACTAAACCGCAAGGCAGTGTTTTTGAAGAGGTAAGTGAATAGAACTTGCTAGTATAAAATGTACTCTAGTCCACTGCAGAGTAATTTTAACTTCAGTGAAGTTGAAGCACTTTGGAAAATCTGGAGGAAAAAAAAGTACCATTTCAATGTATGAATATAAAGGACTACAGATTTTTGTATTGTTGCAGTCTTTTTCTTTCCTAAAGTATGTGCAAAATTGTGAACTCTAAAGGCACTTAGCGCTGAATGCTATGGAGATTGAGAAACCTTTTAAAGCCTCTATTCTTTCCTGAACAGCAAGACTGCTCAAATGTCAATCCTTGCTTTGCCTCTCCAGGGTCGCTGTAAGACTCTATGTGGGAGGTGAACTCATTTATGCTATGATTTTTTAAAATATATAAAATAAAAAGGATTAGGGTTTTTTCTGTTTTGGTTTGGTTTTGGGGGTTTTTATAGTGCAGGGCCACGAAGAGAGGAACGGGCTGGTCCGCCTGGCCTCCTAGTTCGCACGGATGGGCAGAGGTGAGAGCGACCAGGAGCTCTCAATGAAACGGTGATGCTATTTATAAGGCGCTGGGAGATCGCAATGTCCTGCTGAGCCGGTAGGAGCCAGCTCAAAGGGAATTGTCTTCAGAGACTTTCACAAACTTGGCCCAGCTCTGGGCACATGGCTCACCCCCTAGGACCGCCTCCTCAGCCCCTCGCCGGCTGCCAACCCAGGACACTCCCCCGCGCCCTCCGAGGGCTGCCTACCTGTCTGCAGCACAGCCGCGGGTCCCGTCCGGAGGGGGCAGGAGCGCCCGCGTGTGCAACCAGGGGGCAGGCGCCAGGTCGCGGGCGTCGCCCCTCCCCTGGGCAGCGCCGCACACCTGGGCAGCCAGCGGCGAGTCCTGGGCAGCCGCCCTATCCGCGGCGCTCTGCCCATCTTGCAGGGAAGTGGTCATTGTCGTTGGCCGGGGGGTCTCGGGTGTCACGGGAGACCCGGCGCGGCGGGGAGAGGGAGGCCGGGTGGCGGGAGGCGAAGCGCCTGCTTAGCAGCCCGAGCGCGCTGCAGGTGCGGTGGCCTCGCCGCCTGCGCTCCGGGCCCGGGCGGCTCAGACGCGCGGCCGAGCAGTCGGAGAGGCGGCGGGGGAGGGGAGGGGGCGGAAGAGGAGGGTGGGGAGAGGGGAGGAGCGGCCGGTGGGTGGGGGCCGCGGGCGGCGGGGCGAGGCGCGGAGGGGGCGGGGAGGGCGCCGAGCGCCGGGCGGGCCTCGCACCCCGCCCGGGACGCGCCGGGGAGCTGGCGAAGGTCCAGTGTGGCCGGGGTTCGGCCCTCGGTGGCCGGCACTCGAGGCCCGGGCCGCCACCTACCCAGGTGGGCACCCGAGCGCGAGGGCTGAGCCCAGGGTCAGGGCGGGCCCGCACCGCTGGAGGCGGGGACCCATGTGAGCCGGCGCTCCCGAGGGGTTTGCCTAGCGGAGCGCAGGCGGGGCTGGGGTCTGGGAGGCCCTGACCCCCCAGACCCTTCTTTTCTGGCTCTTAGATCACCTAAGCTGTGGCTGGGCCGCCATGACAGGCCCCACCGTGCCCGGAGGCCAGGGGCCATGGGGCTAGGTTTGCCCCAGTCTTCCCCCACGTGCCTCTTCCTTCCACTCCTGCAGCCTTAGACGGGGACTTGGGGGGTGGGGGGTAAGGGAGCAGGGAGTGCAATCCATGCAGTATAGGATGCTACTGAGATGTTTCAGAATTCTTAGTAAGGCGTGAATAATCCTGAAGGTGTCTTGGGAGTTCAAAAAAAATATTTTCTTTTAGTAAGAGCAGCCCTCATGTAATGAATCCCCAGTCTGCCTTGTCCTATTCCACCCTCGCAACAGCCTCACAAATCTCAATGTTTACCCCATTTTACAGATAAGGAAAATGGGGTTCAATAGCCTGCCTGGCAGAGCCCTAGAAATCAGTGCAGTTAAGCTTCCAATTCAGAAGATCCTTTCTTAAAAACCCAGACTATTTGAAGTAGTAGCCCCCTTCTGTGATTTTGCTTTCCTCCATTTCAGTTACCTGTGGTCAACCTCCTGGAATAGATGACCTTCCTTTTGAGATACAGGCAGAAAGTCAGTAGCTTCTTCTCAAGGCACACCTCATTCTCCTCACTTCATCTCATCAGGTAGGCATTTTGTCATCTCACATCATCACAAGAAGGGTGAGTAAGTTCGATACGATATTTTGAGAGAAACCACATTTATATAACCTTTAGTACAGTATATTGTTAAAATTGTTCTATTTATTAGTTATGATTGTTAATCTCTTACTGTGCCTAATTTATAAATTAAAATGTATCAGGTAGCCATGTAGAGCATAAAACATGGTATATATAATATAGTTTATAAGATAGATACATAATCAGTATAGGTAGTTCAGTCTGATACTAGCTAATGGTTTCAGGTATCCACTGGGGAATCTTGAAATACATTTCTGCAGTTAAGGGTGGATTACCGTAATTACATTATGCCTACGCTCTGAGGTGCAACTATCCCACTCTGAAATTCTGGGGGCTACTGTGTTTCTGCTCTTCCCATAAGTTCCCTCATCCCAGTGCACTGTAGAGGATTTCCAAATGTTTTACACACTCTTCGTTCTTTGACCAAATTAGGTAACACGTGTCCCTGGCATCTGTTTCACCAGGTTTTCTTAACCTCCACAACTCCGGCCCAGGGTAAGGCAAACACTTCCACCTGAAGAAGTAGGCAAAACCCTTTTTTCCATACATACACACATACACCACAGCACCAGCCTTCTAACAACCAGGGGTCACTAACTCCTAGCTTCTACGGAAACTGGGAGTACACCACAGAAGGAAAATCTTTGGGTCAAATAGCTTATAGAATCCAAGTTCTTCATTTTACTGTTGTCAAAATTAAGACCCAATAAAGAGCAGTATCAGTTCGGGTCACACAGTGGGTGTGGTCTCCAGGAGACTTTCTACAGTGCCATAGCCATGGAAGGACAAAATGGTAGTTCTCGGGCTGGATAAAATAATAGTACTCATCATGGTGAAAGTTAACGTGTTTTGATGCTGTGTGCCAGGCAAAGCCCTCGCTCACCTCCAGGTCCCTAAATAGGGTCTAAATTCTACATGCAGGTTTTAAGATAGTTTCATATAAAAGCATACAGATATATTGAGGTCATTCCAGCAAAATAAAAAAGAGGTTATGTATTTGCAGATAACTTGAACTAAACATATAAAGAAACAACTCTTCCTTCCCTCCTCTTCCTTCTTCCTCCTCCTCCTCTTTTTTTTTTCTTCTTCCTCTTTTTTCTTTCTTCTTATCCCTATATTGTCCCAAAAGTCTTGGAGGCACCCATTTCTCCTTTAGAATGGTACACTCTGGGGAGACTTGTGTGGCTCCGTCAGTTAAGTGTCTGCCTTCGGCTCAGGTCATGATCCCAGGATGCTGGGATCGAGCCCCACATTGGGCTCCCTGCTCAGTGGGGGGTTCTGCTCCCCTCTCCCCCTGTCTCTGCTCCTGTCTCTTGCTCTCACTCTTGCTCTCTCTCTCTTAAATAAATAAATAAAATCTTTTCTAAAAATGTGAAAAACTAAAAATAAAAAAATAAAATAAAATGGAATACTCTGAGCATCTAACAAGAGGATGAATCAGTCGTTAAAGTTTGTTCCCACCATGCTCCCAGCAACTCTCTCTCTCTCTCTCTCTCTCTCACACACACACACACACAGAGAGAGAACAGGCTTTTTTGTCAGAGAAAAGGATAGGTGAAAAGTGTTTATATCACCAGAATCACTGGAAGTACTATTTCCCAATAGTGTGTCCTGCTCCACTTCCCAGTATGAATGTTTAACCTCAAGACCGAGTATTCATTTGTTGGAATGAGATCTCAATCTCGTCTCCCCTCTCCAGACATTTTCTTTTAGTGACTATCCAGGGAGTATCCATTTGCAGCCTTTATGCTCCTTTTCTAAACCCCGTGGCAAAAATTATAATACCCATAGTCATCAGGGGCAAAAGCAAAAAGAACAAGTCTCTGAGGAATGGGACCTAAATAGTTGTGTCTTGCAGACGGGAGCTAAATATTGAATTTACATCTAGATACCTTGAGGCTCTATACCAAGAATTATTAGAATTAGCTCATTCTCATTTTCGAAGCAAGCCAACAAAAGAACCAGTTTTTCTATCTAAAAGGTTTACAAAAAGTGATTCTAAATAAAGAACTATGCAATATAAAAGCAGAATACTATCAGACCTAGTACAGTCTAAAAGAATACAGTGACAGTTTTTCACCAAAAAGGAAGTTATAAAGGGAGATTTTTCCTTCCCATAACTGACAAAGATTTCTGAAACAATGAGGCAGATATGTTGGTCTGAAACACCGAGGCAGGTATCTTGGTACCAAAGACTGGATCCTCCCCTGAGTGGCTGTTGTCCTTTTTGACTTGAATCTGTGAAACTGCAAAGGAAGCAGTTTGTCTCTTGGCCCCTCCCCAATGTGAGCGTTGTCTGCCCCTTTGCACTTCCCTTTCCTGTCTCTCGCTAGGTGTCCTAGCCTTTCAACCCTTCAAGGAAGAGGTGTTCTCCCTGCTTTACTCTCTCCTTTCCCTTATTCATCAAATCAAATTTCTTAACCCTTTATGTTGGGCAAGATAACATACATACAGAAAAGAAGTTCACAGACAAAATTATATGATGACTTATCACAAGGCAAACACCAATGTCAGGTGAATTGCAGTCAGTCCTCTAAAAGCTTCTCCCTCCAATCCGGATTTTCATGGTAATCAACTCATAGTTTAACCACAAGTATCCACCCCAGAGCACAATAAAGTAGGTTGTCTGGTTTTGACCTTTACATAAATGGAATCATATGGTATGACCCATTTGTGCTAGACTTGGTTCCCTTAAGGTATTATTTACAATATTCTTTTTCAAGTAGCTGTACCTCTTTCATTCTTCTATTGTATGTAAATAGCACAGTTTATTTATTCATTCTATGGCTGATAAGCATCTGGATGAATTCCAGCTTCTGACTATTGTTAATGCTGCTGCAATGAACATTTTGTACATGTCTCTTGATGCACATGTGTATACATTTCTGGATGGTATATATGAGGGGCATTGTGAGGTCATGCTATGTGTATGTTCAGCTTGAGTAGATACTGCCGATTTTTCAGAATTGTACCAATTCACAACCAGCAGCATAAGTTTCCTCAGTTCTTCACATCCTTGAGGATTGGAATAGTATTCAAATTTTCACAGTAGACATTCTGGTTGAGTATTTAGCCATATCTCGGGGTGGAACTTGACCTTTCTTGATGAATAATGAAGTTGAGAGCTTTTTTAAGTGATTGCCATTTGAACGTCCTCTTTTGATAAGTACCAATTCAAGTATCTGCCCATTTTTATGTCATCTTTTTCTTATTCTTTTATAAGTGTTCTTTGTATATTGTTAGCAGCTCTTTGTTAGTTATGTTTTGAAAGTGTACTCCTCCATTCTGTGTCTTAACATCTTATAACTCTTAATGGTATCTTTTGATAAATAGTAGAAGTTCTTAAGTATTAAATAACCAAATTTATTTTTTATGATTGTTTATAGCTTGTTAGAAAATTTATATATATATATAAATATATATATATATTTATATATATATATATATTCCAGAGATTTATTGTTTTGCTTTCCACAATTAAATTTGTGATCCAAAATGATGAATATTTTTATCCTAGGGTATGAAAATGTGAAGGCATGAGAGTATAAAGATTATTTTTTTCCATTATAAACAGGTAATTTTACAGCTTCATTCATTAAAAGGATTTTCCTTTCCTCACAATTTTTCAGTGCCTCTTTTGTTATAATTAATTGTACACCTGTCTATGGACTTTTTCTGGGCCCTCTCTTCTATTCTGTTGGTTTATTTATCAGTATTTATACCAAAATCACATTGCCTTAATTATTATGATTTATAAAAATTCTTAATATTCAGTAAAACAAGGCATTTCATTTTGCTCTTCAATTTATTTATTTTAGAATTAGCTTCAGAAGTTTTAAAAGAGCTGCTGGGATTTCGATTAGATTGCAATAAATCTTTACATCAGTTTAGAAAGAAATAGTATTTAAAAAAAATAAGTTCCCAATCCATAAAATTGCTGTATCTTTCCATTTAGTTATATCTTTAATTTGTTGCAATGATGTTTTATGGTTTTGTACATAGATATTTTGTGCATATTGTTAGACACGTTCTTAGGTAATATTTTTACTACTTTGGATACCTTTTTAAAATTTGATTTTTGGGGTGCCTGGTGGCTCAGTCGTTAAGCATCCACCTTCAGCTTGGGTCACGACCCCAGCGTCCTGATATCCAGCCCCATACTGGGCTCCCTGCTTGATGGAGAGCCTGCTCCTCCCTCTCTGGCTCTCCCGTGCTTGTGTTCCCTCTCTTGCTCTCTCTGTTATAAATAAATAAAATCTTTTAAAAAAATGTTTGATTTTCCATAATTTGTTGTGATGAGAAAACAGCTGATTTCTGTGTATTGATATTTATCCACATAATTACTGTCATGCATTAATTTTAAAAATTTAACTGAAATGTTTTATGTTCTCCATATAGATGGCCATATATTATTCATGCATAATGACAATTTTATGTTTCTAATTTTCATATCTTTTATGTATTTTTCTAGACTTACCATCCTACTTAGGAATTTGAATACAATGTTGAATACGAATGAGGATAGCGCAGATTAGAGTTTTACTTCATCTCAAAGGAGTAGATATTAAATAAAATAATGTCATACCTTTGTCATAGATATACTTTATCAGATAAGGGAGGAGGGTTCCCTCATACTGCTTTTTGCTAAAAAAAAAAATTGGGGGAGTTGGGGAAGGGCGAGAGAGAGGAGGAGGGGAGAGGGAGAGAGAGAATCTCAAGCAGACTTCCTGCTGAGTGTGGAGCCCTACTCAGGGCTTGATCTCACAACGCTAAGATCATGACCTGAATGGAAATCAAGAGGCAGACCCTTAACTGACCGAGCAAGGCACTCCTTGCTAAAAATTTTTTATCAAGAGTGGATATTAAATATTATTAAACAACTTTTCTGTATCTACTGAGTTGATAGTTTTCCTCCTTGGTTCTATTAAACTAATGAATTATGTTTT